TATGTACAACAATCAACAAACTATTTATCAACACTTAGTTTTCATTCAAAAACTTAATTTTCTAAAAACATTTTTATTTGTGTTTTATTTCATCATTTATTACATAAAACAATAGTATATTAATGAAAGATAATTATTGATAAATAATCTAATAGAAATACAGGTTTCTACAGTCTATTATAGTTTACATTTAAATCATTAAAGAATATTAATGTCATATACAATTTTATTTGTAAATTTTTTAATACAGTATTTAACATCTTTTATTTACTATCAATAATCAATCAAAATGTTTACTAAAATAAAATGGAAATAATGTAATAGAAAATCTTAATATTTTATCTATAAATAATTATATTGAAATAAATGTTACAAATAAAATAACATTTAAACTAAATATAAATTTAATCAAAATAATTTATTTGTGTTTATTTAGAAAATTGTATAAATAATATACAAATATTATATTTGAAATATAAAATAAACATGTTTGATTAAATGTAAAAATAATAAGTTTTATATTATTTTTAAACTTCTAGAATCTAGATTTAGGATACAATGAATGTCATCAATAAAATCATAATTAAGCAACTTATAGTAATTAATTTAATATTTGCTATGGTTACATTAAGATATTTCTAAGTGAAGTTTATATAAAATGAATGTGAAAATAGCAGTATTAATTTTATATTGTTTTCATACTTCTCGTTCAACGTAAGTATTTTATAATTATAATTTTTTAAATAAAATATTATAATATAATATTATTATATTTACGAACACTGATTTAGGGCTGTACAACCTAAACAACCTTGTATGAAAATAAATTTATTAATTACTTTTTATTCATAATTATTTTTGCCTCAATAAATAAATTCACCTACTTATTTCACTTAATCCCTTAAATAAAATGAATGTTTTAAAATTTAAATATTACTACCGTAATATAAATAATATTCAATTTAAACAAATAAGTTTTTATAAATAAAAACATGACATGTATCAAATATGAATTCATTTTAGAAATATATTCAAAACATTCAATCTATTTAAGAGATTAATTAAATGAGTTTATATTTTCAAGTAAAAATAGTTATGAATAAGTATTATTATATAAGTTATTTTTTATACATGATCATTTATTTGGCTTTATAGTCTAAAAGACAGACTATTTTTGAAGTTCTTATATATATACTTGAAAACACCATAATTACAGTATATTATACTTGAATTATGATTTTTATCATTTATTTAGCGAAATCATATCAAATGATTCAGAGTATTGGGCATTATTTGAAAGCAGTGAGTACAACAAGAATGTAAAGCCTAACAGTCAAGGTACTTTTGGTTTTATTATCTATTAGAATAATTGTAATAAATTTATTCCAATGAACCTTTCACTTTTTTGGGTAAAAATACAAAACATGCTTACTGCCAAAGCTTCTGTATATGTTTATATTAATTCAATATATCAGTTATCAGGGTTTTATATTTTTACTTAAAAATAGAAACAATTCATTGAAATTACAAATATATTTAAAATATGGAATTAATGCATTGGAATTGAAACCATGATAATTTTTGAAAATAAAATATTCATAATTTTAACTTGGTACCAGGACCACTTAAAGTGAATGTGTCACACTTTGTTATTGATATTTACGGACTATCGGATGTTGACATGGTAATCTTANAATATTCATAATTTTAACTTGGTACCAGGACCACTTAAAGTGAATGTGTCACACTTTGTTATTGATATTTACGGACTATCGGATGTTGACATGGTAATCTTATTAATGTCACTAATTATGCCAATAATAATATAATAAATGAAATGAAAAACTTATTTTAAGGATTACACGATAGACTTGTATTTGAGGCAGTGGTGGACTGATAGTCGTTTGCAATTCAATGGCACCGTAAAGACCATAAACTTAGGACCAGATTATATCAAGAAGATCTGGATTCCCGACACTTTTATAGCAAACAGTCGACACCATAACTCAGCAGGGTCTCACCCAAACACTATTCTCTCGATTACCAGCGATGGACATATATACTATAGCACCCGGTTAGATCTCAATATATCTATATTTTTAAAACCCACTAAAATTTAATTAATAGTTTAATAATCGTGGCCAATTGTCCAATGGATTTGAGCTACTTTACAATGGACAGGCAGTTGTGTCGGCTTAGATTTGAGAGTTACAGCTATAATAGTAAACAGATCCAGTACAATTGGATTGGATCCGGATTAGCATCCCGGATATCACTTTATAATTTTCGTATTGAAAGGGATTATAAAGTGGCACACATTGAGAATATCAGTCTATCAGGTTAGTCTATTATAGATGGAGACAATTATAATACTTTTAAATGAGAGTTTAATTTTAATATAATATTTAATTTTATTAATAATATAGTAAATGTATTTCAATTTTCAGACCCGTTTTCAATTTTAATCTATGGGTTTGTATTGAAGCGTTCACTTGGCTTTTACCTCAATCAGGTGTATATCCCGGCCTTTCTAATTGTGGTCATATCATGGATGCCATTCTGGTTGGACAGGGAGGACACACACGCCCGGGTGGGTCTGGGAGTGACCACTGTCTTAACGATGACAACACTGATCACCAGTA